CAGTGCTAGGATAATAGGAGCAAGCCACCACTGGGCCTAAGGATCGATGAATCCCACACAAGAAAGAAAAACATTCATGATAAGGCCTATGCAGCAATCACAGAGAACCTAGACTAAAGCAAGAGACTGCAGGTTGCAGAAAAGAGGCCTCTGACAAAAGGGAGGTTTCAATGAACTATTGTGTTTAGTATACTGGAAAAAAAATGAAAGAACCATTAAATAAAAATGGGAATAACAATATTGTTAAGATATGAGTTCTACGAAACTGATCTAAAGATGCAAATAATTCCTATCAAAATCCCAGGCAGCATATTGGGGAAATCAACAAAATAATTCTAAAACATACATGAAATATAAAGAGCCAAGAATAATGAAAGTTCTTAAACTCCCAGAATTGAAATTTAATGTTATAAAGCCATAGCAATTACTACAACAATGACAAAATTTTTTTTAAAAGCCAGATCAATTAAATAAAATCCAGAAATACACTTATATTAGTTACCTAATTCATCACCAAGTATCACCTCACCCCAGTGCAAGGGTACAGGTAGAGTGAGATTTTTCAGTATATGATGCTTCGTCAAATCGATATCCACACAGAAAATGAAATCCTGACCCCACTCCCACATTGCACTCAAGTTTACTTCAGACAGACCACAGAACTAACTGTGAAAGATTAAACAATAAAAATTCCAGAACATTACTTAACAACTTAGGGTAGACTTTTGAGTAACATCAAACTTTTAAATAGGATATAAAAAGCACTGACTATAAAAGAAAATTATATTTCATTAAAACTAAGAATTTGTTTTCACGGAAAGAAATCATTAACAGATTAAAAGGCAAACCACAAACATGACATTTCTACACGAGATTGTAGAGATATCTGCAATACATACATCTGACAAAGGAGTCAAATCCAGAATGTAATCAATAAGAAAACAATGAGAAACTTGAACAGGAAATTCAGAACACATATACTTCATAACAAAACATATCTATGCCCAATCAAGATATAAAAAGTTCCTCAATTTCATGAGTCATCAGGAAAATGCAAATTTAACTTGCAATTCTTTACCACCACATACTCACCAGACAGGCTAAAAAAGTTTTTTAAAAAATACCAAATGTTGGTAAGGACTCAAAGCAACTACTATGTAACTCCCAATCATTGACTACAGGACTGTAAATTGCAATAATCACTGTAGAAGATCATTTCCTAGTATCTTCCAAAGCTGAACATATAAGCTATAACAGAAATTCCATTCCTTAGATATATTCCCAATAAAATATACTCATATAGTCACCTAAAGACACATGTAAGAATGTAGTGCAGGTACTGCTCCTAATAATTACAGCCACTATACTGTCCATAATCAGATATGACAGACATTGACAAATACTTTCCAGGCCATTTCTGGAACTGAAACCTTTGTATATTGCTGATGAGAATGCAAAATGAAAAAGTCATGTTTTTCATAACAATTTGGCCATTTGTTAAAAACTCATGGAATGATATACTTAATGCACACTTTTTTGTGTATATATGTCAATTTTTACAAAGCTTATTTTAAAAAATGAAATACTACTACATACTCATCAAAATGTCAGTCTTTAATTTTAGAGAAAAATATGGGCAAAGATACAGAGCAAGTGCAACTCTCATATGTTGTTGGTGAGAATGTAAACTGGTACACTTTGTAAAACTGCTTCGTTGTATCTACTAAAATAGGATGCACATGTTCCCACTGACCCAGCTATTCTACTCCTATGTTCATACAGCCACCAAAACACATGCATAAAACTTTTGTTCAGAAGCATTAGTCAAAATCATCTAAAACATGAATATAGTCAGGCTGGGGATTTAGCTCAGTGGCACCACACTTGCCTCGCAAGCACAAGATCCTGAGTTCGATCCCCAGTACCTCAAACAAAACAAAACAAAATAAAACATGAATATAAAATTTTCATCATAAGTACAGTGGAAAAATAAATGTAATATATTCATTCAATGGATGCTATAAAGAAGAATCACTCCTATATGCAAAAACAGGTTTGAAACTTAAAATCTTAATGCTAAATCAAAGAAATCAGATACAAGCCAGGTATGGTGGTACACAACTGTAATCCCAGCACTCTTGACAGGCTGAAGCAGGATGATTACAAGTTCGACCCCAACCTGGGCAACTTAGTAACTTGGCAAAAAATAAGGCCAGGCATAGTGATGCATGTCTATAATCCCAGCACTCAAGAGGCTGAAGCAGGAGGATCACTGCAAGGTTAAAGCCAGCTTGGGCTACATAGTGAGTTCACGGCCAAATTGGAATACACAGTGAGGCCCTGTCTCAAACACACATACATACACAGATAAAAATTTAAAAGGAAAGGTCCTGGGTTCAATCCTCAATATGCAATTAAAAAAAAGAAAAAGAAGACAATAAACTCTAGCAAGAAAAGAGTACTAGTTACCACTAAAGGTATGAATTTGATTCCTTCTGGGGTCCCAGTAATGTTCTATATTTTAATTTGGGTAATAGGTATATGACTATATTCAATTCACAAAAAATGTATCAAAAGGTACATTTTAATATTTGTCCATCTTACTATGCATCTGCTATACTGCAATTTTTCAAAATTTGTCTTCCTAAATTTCAATTGTACATCGAGCAAAAGAAGGTAAAGAAATAATTTAAGTAATTCAAGTATTCTCTATAACCTTACTCTACTACCAATAAGGACATATTCTCACATAAGGAACACAAATAGGCTTAAAATAATTAGTGGAGTTTCTCTAAAATTGACAAGAAGTAAAACTGATGTTTAGGTAAACAAGAACACAGAGATAACACTGTCTATAATGTCAAGAAATGTCAAAAAATTAATTAGGAAAACACTGAAGAATAAGAACCAAGACAAATCAATCATCTAAAAGGTATACATGATAAATAATAAGAACATTCTGCAAACTGGCTTTCCATAGAGTGAATTTTCCCAAGTGGAAATTTTGATCTTGAATATGATTTAAAAGTTTAGAAAGATATATTAGATAATTTATGTAGTTTACTTACATTATTATATAGGGTTGTATAAACAAAACCAAATGTAATCCACCTGTTAGTTAAAACTTTTCAAGGGTAAATCTGATCATTAATTAAATGTAATTCCACTGTACTATGTATATATATATGCATACATTTATCTACATATTCATATACACACATATTATACACACATATGTACACATATATCTAGATATAACATAATGTATGTTTATATACATATTGACAAAAAAGATAAAAATTTAAACATAACATTAAGAGCTACAATAGCACTAAAACAGTACCACAATTATATTAAAAGAGAAGCTAGAAAGGCATGGCTTAGTAGTTTAATTTCTCATTTATTATGTCTACAGTTGATAAATCAGGAATCAGTTAGAGGTACCTTATTTAAAGACACAGAAATATCACCAGGAAAACAAAAATAAGCATCTGCTTTTAATCTTATCTGAAGGAGACTGGGACTGGAGCACAAGACTGCTACTTTTTATACAATTTAAAGTATATTTTACATTTTTAATCATGAATGTGAACTACTGGTGATCAAAACTTTGAATCTTATTACCGAAGAATACCATACAAAAATTTTCACTTCATACTCTATTTTTAAAAGCATATTATGGATGTCCATCCAAATTTTATAAATATACATATATTATATATAAGCATATTTGCAGGTATAAAATATATCTGTGAAGGGCACAATAACATTTCCTATTTATTGAGAGGATTAAACTAGATAACATATATAAAATACTCCACAAAGCCAAGTACAAAGTAAAGATTCAATACATTTAGGTATTATTGCTAGTATTTATTATAGATACATAGAAAAAAGGCTCAACAAAAATATTAGAACTTGTGCTGCTTATTATGTGAAGCACTTAATATATTTTATAAACACTCAACATCTGACTAAATCAATTTTATCTAGCTTTTAAGGAATAGATAATTCTCTTCTAAGACTGTCAAATCAAAAAAGACTGATGTTGGGCTGGGGATTTAGCTGAGGGCCGGGGATTTAGCTCAGTGGTTCCACCACCTGCCTCGAAAGTGCAAGGTCCGGAGTTCAATCCCTGGTACCAAAAAAAACCAAAACAAAACAAAACAAAAAAAGACTGATGTCTACCTAACTAATTTGAATAAATTTCAAGTTAAAACCTAAAAAAGCATTAAAAAAGAAAAGCATGCCCTACTGTCATTATATAGAAAGAATGAACAGCAGCTGTAGCAGTAGTGGTTACCATGTAGAATATATACTGCATGTTAATTATGCTTTCTAATGTTCTCTTGTATTTTAAATTTTTGCTACAAATACAAGTTTTACAATTTGCTGGGCTATGAGGGGACTCTCTAAAATGGTACTGTACACAGAAAGTAAATACTTTAAAAGGCCAAAATTTTTAAATTATGTTAAATTGTTTCTGTACATAGAATAGTTACTTATTCTTACATATCCACAAGGTGATACAGAAATATAATTCTTCTTAGCGAGGGAAGCACAAATAAGTGTTTAATTAAAATTAAAGGAAATGCTTAACTTTCCCTAGATAAGGCTCCATACTATCTACTGAAAGCATATCACCCTCAAAACAGGCCAGTAATGAGAACTAAAATCCAGAATGAATAAATATAAAAATTAATCTTTCATTAATTGCAGAGAATGGGGCACATAAAGGAGAATGAATAAATACACTTGTGAAGTATATTATCATTCATCCCCTTAAATATTTTACAAATATCATCCATAATGTCTTCTAGAAGCAGGTTCACAGTCTTCTTTGTAATAAGGAACAACTTAGCTCCTCACTTAAATATTCAAATGAAACAAAAGGGAAATCAAAGAACAAAAACCAGAAATAAAAGAAGAGGTGAGGATGCTAAGGTTCTCTCTGACAACTACTTCTGCCCTAGTACAGGGACTTCCAACTCCAAGCTTACCTGTGCATACTCTCTTTCAATAGCAGCCCTCTTCTGACTGAATGTCCTAAAAATACAAATAAAAATTAATTACTGAAAGCATAACTTAATAATTTCATGTAAATTTATAAACACACCTTTGAAATTTTCCAGGGAAATGTATTTTATTCATCTTTATGTGCTCAGAAAGACTATTATCAGTGTGGTCTCTGCAGTTAGACAATCTACATTCAAAGTCCAGCTCTACCACTTACAAGTATAATCTTAGACAAGTCATTTGACTTCCCTGTGCCTCAGTTTCCTTGATGGTACAATTTTGTAGATTCTATGGTTCATACTTTTCACAATTAACACTTCTGGCCAGGCACAGTGATGCACACAGGAATTCCCACCAACTTGGGAAGCTGAGGGAGGAGACTTGCTTGAACCCAGGATTTTTTTTTTTTTTTTTGGAGACAGAGTCTTGCTTTATAATTCAGGCTAGGCTTGTACTCACTATGTAGCTCAGGCTGGTCTTGAACTCACAGCGATCCTCCTGCCTCAGCCTTCACCTTCTGAATGCTGGGATTACAGGCATGCCACCATGCCTAGCTTTTTTTTTTTTTTTTTGAGATAAGAGTCTCACTATGTAGTCCAGGCTAGGGTCTCAAACTTGCTATGTAGATCAGGCTGGCCTCAAACTTGTGATCCTCCTACCTCAGCCTCCCAAGGGCTGGTGTGCACCACTCCACCAGAGTTGAACCCAGGATTTCTGGGGCAGTCTAGGCAACATAGTAGGACCCTCTATCTCTTTAAAAATTTTCCAAATTTATGATATGGGGATGACTCTTTATGATTGACAGTATTTCCTCATATTTTAAAGGTTAACAGTCAACCTTATAAATCACAGGCATTGCAGAATCAACAAAATATAATACTGGCAATTTACCTTGAATATTCTGAATTAAAGTCATGTCTGTTGTATGCCACGAATCTGTGCTGCAAAACCAGCGCACCTCAGGAAACACACACACACTCTCTCTCTTTCATTTTAACCCAATTTTATTTTTGTTTGTGTTTTTGAGACAGGGTCCCACTATGTAGTTCAGACCAGCCTTGAACTCACTATATAGTCCAGGATGGCCTCAAACTCATGGTGATCTTCCTGCCTCAGCCTCCTGAGTGCTGGGATTATAGGCATGCCTCACCACCCCTGGCTCAATCCAAATTTATGAGTGTACTTGTAATTGTGGAAGTCAGCATCCAGATAAATATAGGAGAATGTAAGATAATATTTGATCCACACACCTGTAATCCCAGCACTCTGGGAGACTGAGGCAAGAGGATCACAAGTTCAAGCCCAGATTGGACAACTTAGTGACTCAGTGAAACCCTGTCTCAAAATTAAAAATTAAAGGGAGGGGGAGCTGGGGCTATAACTCACTGTGAATGCTCTGTGTTCAATCCCCAGTATTACCATAGATAGATAGACAGACAGACAATATCTGAAATTCTAAGCCTAGCTAAGTGTCAAAATTTGTTCTATAAATAAAAGTTCTCAAAGGGGGAGGGAAGCAGATCCTATTGCACTAAGGCAAAGATATAAGAAGTGGAAAGAGTGAAAGAAAGAGTACACTGGAATAGAAAAAAAAAGCCAAAATTAATGCTTGAAAAATTATTTAAATTTACCAATATGACTGTTAGGAAATGTAACTATTCAAGATCTTACTGTATTTGTCTTGAGTGAATAACTAATTTCTTAATACTAAACATACAATGGGAAACAGTCTCTTTAAATCAGTAAGTGACAAGAAAAAAAGGGAAAAAATGGAAACAAAGCTTTTGTACATAGGGAAGAGAGGAGGTTCGAGGGGCAGAATGGGATAAAATTTATTTACAAATTAAAAATAAATCTAAAAACTCATGCATATATAAGGGTATTTTAGATTATAAAAAAATAAGCATCTTATATAATAAATGTCTCCAGTGCATTCAAGGGTTAAGCAAGGAAAGAAGATTCTGGGAAGATGTGGAGTTAGGAAGCACTAAGAGTCTGTTCTGAGTCGCGCGGAAGATGCCAAATCACCCCGCTGCAGAAAGGCAGGTCTGCCCATGCCCTACCGAGGTCCTGAGTCGCACAGAACATGTCGAATCAGCCCGCTGCACACAGGAAGGTCTGTGCACACCCTACCGAGGTCCTGAGTCACACGGAAGACACCGAATCACCCCGCTGCAGACAGGCAGCCACCTGGTTCCACACTACAAAGACGCAGAGGACAACAGACCACCAGACCAAGGTACTGAGTCCAGCTGTACCGGCCCAGAGGTAGGGGCTTCTGAGCCGTTGTCCTACTGCTCCTGGTCCAGAGGAAGGGGCTTCCCGGCCACCGTCCCTCCCGCTGCTCCCAGCCTAGAGGAAAGGGCTTTGGGGCCACCTTCTGTCCCGCTGCT